GGAAAGCTGCAACTAGGACCAGCGATCGCTGGGTCCGAATTCGGGGCTGCAACAGTTCCAGAATGCCTGCACTGCCACTTGCCACTGCAGCAGCAACAGCAGCAACAACAACAGGGTCTGGACTTGCTGCAGATCCAGATAGGCTGTTGGCCACACTCAAAGAAGAAGAAAATGAAGAAGAAGAAGAAGAAGATATGGTTGGAGGGGCAAGAACGGACTGACACACAACACTAGCAGCAGGGTACGCAGGTGGAAGGACACCTCGGGCCGGCTGCATGTTAGTAAAGTGTTGCAGCTGGTCACGATGCTGCTGCGCCATCAAGACCATATCCTCGCGCAACTTCGTGAGTTCTTCAAACACCTTGGCGAGTTGGCCTGTACGGTCTTCAACAGCCCGGACCTCTACTAAAGCCCTGAGGAGTGGGACAGTCTTCTCTTCCACCTCATCATCCGTTAAGGCGGGCACGGTACTGAACACGGCTTCATGAGCCTTTACTTTATATCCCCTCTCCTTCTCCTTCTCTTCCTCTTGCCTCTTCAATGCTTTTTCATAGAAGAACAAGTACTGCGCTTTTTCTGCCTCAGGGGCAGCGTCCATTTGCAGCTTCCATTCTGCTGCAGATGCCATGATGGAGGATGAGGGAGTCAATAAGTCTCTCAAGAGAGGTCCGTATTTCGTCACACTAATGGGACGAACACTCCTCTTCCCTCTCCTCACCCCCTCAAGAGCAACACTCAGAAGCTTCTCTCTTCTCTCTCTCTCTCGTTTGCGATCGTGTAGACGCAGGCATTTAATGAACCCAATGAAAGAAACATTCTTGAAAGCAACTAGAAGAGAAGGTAGAACTAGCCGGAGCGGCAATTCATTTGGACTGGAGAGCAATCAAAACAAAAAATAAAGATCAGAGAGATCTGATTCCGCCACACAGTCTGGTCAGGCCACGTATGAGGTCCTCTCAAGCCTAACCGGACTCAGCTCCGTGAAGACACAGCAAATCAAATTCAAAGTGTACTACGTAAATGCAAGAGAGAATTGAGTGGTGTCCAAGGTGCGAGTCAGGCGGCGGATTGTGCAGTAAAGTCTGTAAAACATCTCAGTTGAGATCCCCTCAGCAACGAGTGTCCTGGTCCGAAAGCATGAACTCCGAAAGTAACTGACGTCAACAGATTTGGGCATAAGGGGTCCTTCTTGTTTGGGCCCTGTCCCACTGAGTCCCAATTGGTCCCAGTGGAGTCAGAACCAGGTCCCAACCAACAAGAGTTCCACAAAGACCTCCTTTCTATCCCTACCGAATCGAAAAACGAAATTTAGCCCCAGAAAGAACCTACAGACTACAGCCGAGAATGAAATAAACAAAGCACTGTAGAAAGATATAGCATGGCACGCAAGATACTCCATTCATTCACTTGTCAGGTGAGTAAGCAGTTCACACACCTCACATAAGATCAAGACCACGGAGGATGGAAGAAGAACCCAGAATACCCCAATAGGCAGCAATTCCATGCACACACACATGGGCACCCTAGCGGCACGACACTTACCTGAGCGGCCGGGCTCTTGAGATGAAAAGAAACTCACCCCCCTCTCACGTAGTCCTCCTGACCCAATTAGCATCCTCTACACTAGTGTCCTATCATATAGGAGGGTCAGCATCTACCCCAAAGTACAACGCCAGATCCCCCGTCGATGTTGAAGATCAAAGTAGCAACTTGCAGTCCGTAGGTGCAGATATGGCTGCCACCCTCAAGCTCGCCTAAGTTGAGGGGAACCCTAAAGTCACTCCTCGTCTTCCTTGAAGTCCAGATTCCAGTTGTAGGTGCCCTACACTGTCGCCTCTCTCAAGTTGCATCACGAAGTCCCACCTTGTGTCTCGCCACCACAAACATGCACTCTGGCAACCTGGCCGGGTCTAATGTCGACCCTACATGGCCCTGCCAGGTGGGAGCAGCTTCCCCTTACCACGCTGCCCCACTTAACCCTAACTTCCGCCCTAACCCTAAGTGGTTAGCCCTTACCACTAGGGTTAGGGTTATGGCGGCAAAGTCAACTCTCACCAGCAAGTACAATCCCCTATGATACCAATGTTACGATCCTGGCCAATTTCAAAGTATACATTCATCAGAAAGTACACTGTCGTCCAATTGCAAAAAGAAATGAATGAACTTGAGAGGAGAGAGAGGGAAAGAAGAGGAAGAAGAAGTAAGAAGAAGAAGATGATGTACTCCAGCATAGACCAATGACAAGGCTCTTCTTCTTCGCCAACCAATCTCCTCCTCCTTATCTCCTCCCCTCTTATTCAAACAAGAAATAACAATAATAATGTTGAATGGCTGAACCAGAATCAATGTCCGAATCCCACTTCTACTGCAGGCACAACATGAGGTCCACCATAGCCGTGGCCACCATTCCTCTTCCTCTTCATATAGGCCAAGGCTATGGCGGAGCACTGAGGGCTCTACCCTCCTGTCCAAAGGACAACCCAAAGCAGCTATGTCGCTGCTCTCTTGTCCCAAGGTCAACAACAGGC